AAAAAAACTCAACAATCCATCCACAATCGCAAACCCTCCTCCCCTTTCAATAAAATTGTGGTATCATGTACATACCCGACCACACGCGCTGCATGGTCACTGCTCAGCGTTCCACGCCAAACCACCATCCACCAGTCATAAAAGGGGTTTTTTTTGCATACAAGCAAAAAGCATCTGGGAGAGGGGCACCCTTGCCTCAAACCCCTTTCCATATGGACCGGCTGCCCCAATTTACCATTTACCTGTACGTGTACCATAGCCGAGACATACAAGATATCAACCCATCTTACAATCCCCTCTCCAAAACCCTGCTTCAATAAAATAAGCCTCAATAAATCTCTATCAACACAGTCGTAAGCATTTTGCCAGTCAAGCCCGAGGACACCCCCCTTGACATTCCTCCAAAAACTCCCAAATACATACATGTCCGTCCCTCATGCTCCTACCTGGTATGCCTAGCTGTCCCTCGTGAATAACCGACCCCATAACCTTCCTCATTCTGTTTCCTAAAACTTTTGCAAAGATTTTATAGTCTGAGCACATAAGAGATATTGCTCTATATGCACTCAGACCCCTCCCCCCTCCTTTTTTGGGCACCAACACAACTACCCTCGTACTTTGTGACATACCTAACCTCCCCTCCGTGATCATGCAATTCAATACATCAACCAAACAATGCTTAATACTTCCCCATTGCGCCCTATAAAAATCATTCGAAATGCCATCTATACCTGGTGCCTTTCCTTTACTCATACTAAAAATCGCCTCCTGTACCTCCTCCACTCGAATTCTACCTTCTAGTACCGTTCTATCCCTGTCACTTATAACTTTTCTGAAATCCCTCCCCACAAGGCCACCCGCTTGGACCCCCCCTACTTCTCGCTGTAGCTTTTCCCCAAACCATAGATCAGCATAAAAACTCATGCTGTCCGTGATGAGGAGTACTTGACCCGGCAGGTAACCACCCAAACCCGTGCATACTTCCAATTGCAAGAGGGATGTCGCCTGTTGTCTGACCCTAAATTTGCGCAAGACACAACCCGAAGGTTTGTCGCCCCATAGCACTTCTTCCATACCTGCTCTGACTCTAACCACATTGAAATGTTCATTGTGAATTTCTGCAAGTCGACTATGAAGATGTTCAATGTCGTCATGCCTACTACTTCCACCCCCCACATAGTAATCATTTAGCTGCCCCTCCAGATAGTTTTGCAGCCCATACCTCCAGCTCGCCTCCTCTTTTCCCTGCTTCTTATAATAACTCACTATTCAGGGTTTGGCACGTGTTTCCCACCATTCCAACAAACATTCACCTGCCTGCCACGTTTCCCAGAGATTCTTCCACCAATCCTGAAAAGCGGGCACATCCCCCTCCCCCTCCAATAGCCTCACATTCAGTTTCCAATAACCTGGATAAATCCTGATCATTCCATCCCAGTCCAAGTCCGCTAGCACTGCACGGTGATCTGGAAACCCCACATCAAAGGTCTGTACGTGCCCAACTCTAATTCCTTGTGTTACATAAAGTCTATCCAGATGGGCCGCATAGCCCCTGTGAACGAAGGTGTACTCCACCACCACCCACCCCACCCCACCACATCATAAACCCCTGGATCCCCCAGCAGATTCCGTAAGACAGGTAAAACACACCCCGCCCCCCTCGGCTCAACATCGCCATGGCTGATAACGCATGACCATAATGAACGGCAAACTCCAAGTGTAAAACGTTAAAGCCTCCCTCACAAATTCTGTTTTAACTTTAGAGTTGCTTCCCGCAGGCATGTAAACGCCAATAAAACAAACCCTCACCTCACCCCAGTACTCATCTACCCTCACCACCCTCCCACCTCCCCCCTCCTCCCCTCTCAAGACACGCCAAAGGCTGGACTCCTTCACCTCTATAGCTACCCCACCCTTAAATTTTAAAGAACTGCTAACATTCATTCGGTAGCCTTTTAACCGTAACTCTCGCCCAAACTTATAATTGTGTTCTTGTATGAAACATACATCCACAGCGTACCTGCGCAAGACCCACTCCATCCACACACACTTAACCTCTGCCCACAGGCCATTTACATTGATGGTAACACACTTGAATTCACAAAAGGAGGTTTTCCTCTATGTTTGAGGGTCTTTCCCGTTCCCACACGTACATTACACTGACCTTCTTTGACCTTTGACTTCCCAAGACCCCCCTCACCCCCCCGTTCCTACCCATATGCTGGGCGCTTGCCACAACCCCGTCTGCAAGAGGCGCCTCAGCCACTTTCAACCATAATTTCTTCCCTGGACGTTGTCCCGGTGTCATGACCTCGTCCATATCCGACACTCCTGCCGTCCGTTTGCGGGAACCACCTTCCACACACATCTCCTCACCAGACGAAGCCTCCTGCTGGACTTCCACCACCACCTCATGCAACAGTGTCATTGTAATTACGTCCAGGTCTCCCATATTTGGCAAATCATCCTTTACCACTTCTTGACACTCCAGTGGAACGTCTGGGCTATGCTCTGCCCCATCCAGGAAATTGTGTAGCACGTTCTCCAGCAAACTTTCCTGTGACAACTCCACAGGCTCTGTAGGCCCCACAGGTGGCGTGGGCACGTTTGTAGTGTCCACCGACAGGGTGGCACACGCCATAGACCACGTCTCCTCTTGTTGTACTTCCTCACTGCAAAGCTTAGGTCCTTGTCCAGGCGAGGGACCAGTCCCCAGATCAAAGGCCTCGGTTCTTAGGACCACAGGAGAAGGTTCCTGGATGCGTACAACCAAGCGTCTGGAGCACTGAGCAGCCATATGTTCATACTAGTTGCATAACCTGCATGTCTTCCGTTGGCCTTCCTAGTGAACAAAAACTTGGGTTCTGTAGTGTTCCAGATGAACGTAAGACGGAATCGGCTGTTTCATCTTAAGGGTGTAGGAGCCTTCCGGTTTGCCCCTCGTATGGGCCCTCCCTCCACACTCCCTTGGTCGCTGCATGTACAGTGCCGTATCTACCAAAAACTTTCCGAATAACATACTCCTCCGCCTCGAAAGGCACGTTCCTTACTTTGACCCAGGTGACGTATGTGGAGACGTCATGCAGGCATACCTCTATGGCTGAATTCACCGCCATTTTCCTCTCTTGAAAAGCTTCCACAATCTTGGAGTAAAAGCTGGCATTTGCGAATTTTACAAAAAACCTCGACATCCAATTGAGAGCCACACCATATAATTCCTCAGTGGGTATGCCGTAGACGTCGCGAATAATGGTAGGCAACAAGACATGCATCGTTGCACCACTGAGAGAGCCACGAATGAATTCAACACAGACTGTGTTTACTCTTCTACCCTGATGATCCGCCATCTTGCGTACTGTAGTACACGGTTCGCCACCAGGTGTAAGCAGGAGCAGGCTCAGAAAGCGTCCTCTCAGCCCGCAGGTTGAGAGACGAATGCAGAGATAATCACAGACAACACTACAGTTCACTACCCCATCTTTCTCTTAACAAATATTTCTAAGGAACCAATGGAATATATTGAGATCTCATTTCTTCTCCGTGATGAAGTGTCAGTGAATAACCACATATCAGCATTAAGTTCAGTTCACTAGCTCACAGAATTACCAGTGACAAAGGTGTTGACAAACTAATAGAATTTTTTCCACCAAAATAATTCAAAGACTGCACAGCAAACATTGTCCAATAAGAAGGAAACAGATCACTACTAAGAGACTAAGTAACTCTTGAGTTTCAGATAGCATCTTTAGATCCATAGATGAGAAACATCATTTTGAAAAGCAATACAGACGTGGCTTAATAACTAAAGAATTTAGTAAAAACTATCCCTCAGTCTTCACCAAACTAATAAGGTTGTTCAAATTAGTATATTATTCAGATAGGTAATTCAGGCTAATATGGTTTATTTTAATTAATGTAATGTTATTTTATTGTAACTGTATCTGTGTATACCTGGATGAACTTACTAAGTAGTAGCATCTGCTGGATTATACTTGGAGTCCGGGAGCTTCTGACAAATTATTGTCTTGTTAACAGGTAGAAAAACTGCGTTCTCTGGTGTCCAGGATGAGGATGTTGGCCGCACAACCCAAACTAGAGAAACAGGTGAGAACTAGTGTTGTATGTGTGTGACAAAATGACACTGTGTATACATACAAGTCACTGTGGATATATTCTTGACTATGTATTCTATACACCAATGTAAATATGTCTACTCGGTTAACATCATGTATATACAAATATTACTTGTTTATACTCAGTATCATATATACACAACTGTCACTATGTATACTCACTTCAACAACATGTATACACTAATGACACATGTATACACCTTCAGCACCTCTGCCAAAGATCCTCATCAGTAAGTACAAGAAAATGAGAACTACCACATATTATACAGGAGAGGAGATCAAGTGATGATGAAATGTTGGTGGTAATTGTTGTGAGGCAAAGTTTATCTTACATGACATTTAGAAGCAGACAAGTTGAACTGACTTTTTGATACTCTGTGTGAAGACAATCTTCATAGAAACATGTCAAGCCAATTTTGTCCTACTAAATCAACCATGAGGCAGAACAAATCCATTATATTGAACAGCAATCTGGTCCAGTTGTGTAAACGATAAAATTAACCAACTCAGCTTAATTACAAGTTTGTACGTTTCGAGGTTCGTCCTGGGCTCGTCCAATTTCATAATTCTGTTCCATCTCCAATTTTTAAATGGATTTACTATATTTTTAATAATTTTATTGATGAACTATGTACAATGTTATAAGAATGAACTGTCAAGCAAGTTATGCTTTATTATCTAAGTCATATGAGAAAATTACGTGGAAGACTAATGGGAGGATAGAGCCCCTCGTCTATGATAATTTTTTTTATATTTTTGTTTAAAACAATTCAGTACATCATATAATAAATATACATATAATCTCAACAACATGAGATTTATTACAACCTATCCACTACCTACTCTCTCCACTGTTTACAGAACAGCAGGGCGACAATAACAAAACATTACCCCCTACCCTAAATGATACCCTTAGTGTGTACCACTCAATAAAAACCTGGTACAAACAACGTTCTACTTAAGAACATAAAGGCTATCACCTGCTGCCAGAATGCAAGATCTATCCCCCACTATCTGTATGGACGGCCATACCACGTGACACCAATGATTATAATAAGCACAAAAATACATAACAAGGTCCTTCACCTGTGGCCCTGCCGGATGGCTCTAGCCCCATCCCCAAAACCCCCACTGGTTGCACGCCTACAATGCAAGACATACTTGCAGAACAAAAACCGCAACTGACCATGACATATCAGGATCAACAAGGTGGGATTACAAATCCCAAAGTCTTCTACCTGTAGGCAGAAAAAAAACCATAACCTCCCCTCCGGCAGCAGTTGCCACCGTCCAGCATTCCAGCATACCTCAAAGCACGCAGGCGCTTGTAGCCACCAAGCATAACATTCGTACACCTCCTCTCCCACCATGAACAGAACCAGGACAACCACTCGTACCAGAACATGCACAAAATCTGACAGTGACACACTCACCCTGGAGGCGCTGATGACTATAACAGAGTTCCAACAGATTCACCCTAGCTCACTGGATGGCAAGCCCGACGTCTATCCCCTGATCTAATCCCCACCCCTACATACTAAGCATTTCACTTACTGTGAGGATAAGATAACCCTCAGAAAAACATTCCCCCACCTTGTCCCATATAGATCTCTATTCCTACACATAGTATGGAATACCGTCACCACCAGCACATGCTTCCTCACTTCCCAAACATCTGATCCCCTCATGCACCAGGATATGTATACGTAGTCCACCATCACATATGCTAGCATCCGTGCCAAACTCTCTTCCACCCCCCACATCTAAACTCAGCACCCGCAATACTGACACATCCTCCCCACTCTCTGCACCACCCTGCCCACCCATTTCCTGATTCTCTCCAACCCCTCACAAAAATACATGATATGGTAAGCAGTTTCCTCTCCCCCACACAACCCACAACGCCCCTCCCCATCCATCCTTCAATCCCTCAGTACCACACCAGATGGCAAGATACTGTGCAAAAAACAGAACATTACCTCCTGCACCCTGGGCTGTAACCTCAACCTGCTAAATCTTCTCCAGATGTTTGCCTAATCATATATTGGGTATAACCCCTACCCTGGGTGCACCACCTGTTCCCCTATCACCCTGTACAATGCCCCAACATTAACTTTCCCAGGTTCTTGGGCCAATGCCAACACCAAGACCGCATCACACTCACACAGGTCCACTCCCCCATACAAGCCTCGCAACACCTCATGAACTTTCCCCAACCATCCATCCTGAAAAACCCCTCCCCGCAATACCTCATGCCTTAGATCCAAAAGGCCCATCCCCCCCTTTTGAACTGGCAATATAACCACCTCCCTTTTTAACCACTCGTACTTAGAACCCCACAAAAATCTGAACACCCTCCTTTAGATGTTTTGAATTACCGGCGGCGTTAATGGAAACACTTGTGCAATGAACCAAATCTTACTATACAAGAGCACATTGATTACAATCACCTTCTGCAGGATAGTGAGATGATTCGGTCTTAGTGCTCCCAATCTCTTGACCACACAGACCTCACAATGAGCAGAATCATCCTCCCTCACCCTAACTAAATTTGCCCAATATACAATACCACATATCTTCAAAACGTCCACACAGGTAGTCACCACTCGACATCTCCAATCCACCCTCCACTCCCACAACCACAACTCTAAAATGGACGATTTCTCTGCATTCACCACCATTCCTGAGGCACTTCTGTAAACCTGCATCACCTCCTCCTACAGTGTCCCCTCGTCAACCAAAACCATCCTAGGTTCTCTACACATATGCTGCTATGTATGATAATTCTATGTAACTGTATTGTGTATACCTGAATAAATTTACTTACTTACTTACTTACTTACTAATCACGTCATCCATGTACCTCACCAGACTTGGCCATGGCCACCCTTCTCCTGTCCCCTCGTATTCTTGCCTCCACCATCCTATAGAAAGGGTCTTGCATGCATGCAAACAACAATTGTGAGAGTGAGCAGCCCTGTCAAAGCCCCCCTTCTGTAGCACCACTGCTTTCCCCAAATGCCTGTTAACTTGTACACACACACACTCTTGGTTATACAATGTTTTCACTCATCCCACTATTTCCTCCCCAAAACCCTGAGACAGTAAAATGCGACCTAAATCCTCCTTTTCCACTGTGCCATATGCCCCCTCCCTTCCAATGCTAACAACCCCCCTCCCCCACTAAAAGCAGCTACAAAATCCCGGAGGATACCGTGACCCATCACCATCGATCTGCCAGGCAAACCAAACTGGCTCGGGGAGACCACCCTGTCAGCTACACACTTAAGGCGATTACCAAGCACCTTTGCAAAGAGCTTATAGTCAGTGCACATCAACGATAATGAATGATAATCCTTTAGGGTACACTGATGTGACCCCTTTGGAACTAAGACCACTATCCCAGTTGCTTGCCCCACGCCTAACCTACCACCCCCCCCACTTCATTTCATTCAGGAGCCTGACCAAGAAACCTCGCAACAATTCCCAATGCAGCATATAAAATTTGCAAGGAATCCCATTCACTCCCCTCGCCTTACCCTTGCTCATTCCAGCCAATGCTCTCCAAATTTCCTCCTCCTCAATATCCCCCCCAATGCCATTCTATCACTCCCTCCCAGGGGTTTACCCACATAGCCATTCACTTTCTCCAACAGCTCTTCATTCACCCCACGACTTCATCAATAACGACCATGCCACCTCTCAGTATACATTCCCATGCCCTCTGTCGACCTGAGCACCTGCCCCATCTGATAGTTCTCCCCCCCTCACACACCTCTAAATGCATAAGAGTCATTGCCTTCCTACATTGTTGGTGACCCCTCAGGACACAGGACAAAGGCCTATCCCCCTATAGCACCTCCTCTATACCCACTTGCACCCTTACGGCTTCAAATCTCTCATTCTGCAACTCCCTTAACCTCTCCTTCAGGGCCTCCATCTCCTCAATATGGTACCTTCCCTGCAAAGTGCCTCCACTGTAGCAGCCATGTAAGCACTGCTCTAGATAATTTGACAACCCATATCTCATGTGGTTTATCCTCTTCCTTTCATGTATGTAAAAATCTCTTATCCTAACCTTTGCAATGCTATCCCACCACGTCATCAATTGCCCTCCCCTTCTTCCCAAGCTCCTCCCATAGTGCAGCAAAACCCTCCACTGCCTCATCATCCTCGAGAACCCTCGTATTTAATTTCCAGTAACTCGCCTGCCTTCTAGCTAACACCTCCCACCCCACCTCTGCTACAACTGCTCTATGATCAGAATAAGGCGCCTCTACTGTATGGACAGACTCTATACCAACATGCTGCGTAACATATAGTCTTTCTAATCTTGCCTCACAGCCCTCCCTCACATGTGTATGGTCCACCTCCCATGAACCCCCGGCAAACACATCCTGCAGTTACACATCACAGAGAAGCTCCCCAAAAATAAGTGACAAAAAACCCACCCTCCTCAGCAGCACATCTCTTCTAACAGCACAATTCCAATCCCCTCCCACTACTGCAAGAGAAGGTAAAGATCGTAAGAAATACACCAGCTCTTCCCTCACAAAAGCATACTTAACGCACACTATGTTCTCTGCCAGAGAGTACATGCACTCAAAATCCACTGTCTCACCCCTCCACCATCCATCCACTCTTAAGATCCTGCCATCTACCCCCCCCCTCACTCCTTAGCAATACAAACAGGCTTGCCGCCCTGATCAAGATGTCTATCCCCCTTTAAAGTGCTCCAAATGCATCACAAATCTCTGATAGCCCTCCACCTAAAAATCCTTGCCAGCTTTCCAGTTATACTCCTGAATATATGCTACATCCACACACACGGTACCTATGTAAGAACATACAAAACCAATCACACTTCATTCTCTCACACAAGCCATTAACGTTCAGCATCATACACCGAAGGCCAGTTAATGCTTGTGTCCATCTGGCCCACATCCCCCTTTACATGTGCACCGGGGCCCTTCTCGCTGCCCTTACCATGCTCACCATGCAGGAAACCCTGGCCATCCTGCACCACCTGTTGCTGGTGCCTCCTCCCTCCTACACTGCTAGCCTCCACCACCCACACCTTCTACCCTGGGCGTTGGGCCGGTATTAAGACATCATCAGAGTTGGATGTCGCTGCTGCCCGTTTTCTGGTGACAACACTCTCCTCCATCGATGAACTGGGTTCCTCCTCGCGATGCACCTCCACCACTAACAGCTGTGCATCTTCTGTACCCGGCATCAGCCCGTCCACAACGTGCCCAGCAACATTCACTGCCGCCTCATGCCTAGCATCCACCTCTGATGCCTCAACCATTTCGCTCCAAAGTTGATCACGCCCTCCATCCTTCGCCTGGGCAGACTCAGGAACGTCCTGCCTCTTGCCAGTGGGCGCTGCTTCAGCCGGTCGCCCTGCCCAGCCCCGCCTGCCACACTCAGCTGCAACATGATCATAGTCTCCACATATCCTACAAGTTCTCTGCCCAGCATATATCACCATTACTTGAGTTCTGAAATCCTCCAAGAAAACATAAGAGGGTATGGGATGACGGAGGGTCATTTTAATGGAGAAACTTCCTTCAAGGTAACCAGCATGTGCACCAGTCATCCATTTTCCCTATTGGGCAACATGTACAACTATATACCTTTCAAAAGCTTGGCGAATGTCGACCTCATTCGCCTCAAAAGGTACGTTCCATACCCTCACCCATGTATACTGTCCGGAAATGTCCACAAGTCTGATGCTCAATTCCAGGGCCACTTCCATACTAATCTTGGTAATGATCAACAAGATCCTCATGCACCTGCACGTGGAGCAATTTCACGAATATCCTGAACGAATCATTTAAAGCCACGCCGTACAGCTCCTTGTCATCGATGCCGTAGATGTCTCTGATAATCATTGACAACAAATCATGAACCATCGTAGGCGTGATGGATCCATGCACTAATTCAATTACAACAGTGTTTACTCTGCGACATAAGCCAAAGACCATGACGAGCACTGGGTTGTTAATTTGGTTGTTGACAGAGAGTTGTGAGGAGCATCCACTCACCCGGGCAGCCAGGCGAGGAATGTCCATCTATGATAATTACGTGGAAGACTGATGGAAAGATAGGACCCCTCGTCTATGATAATTACATTTAAGACAGATTGGAAGTTAGGACCCCTTGTCTACGATAATTGCATGGAAGACTGATGGGAAGATAGGACCCCTCATCTATGATAATTACATTGAAGACTGACGGGAAGATAGGACCCATCGTCTATGATAATTACATGGGAGACTGACTGGAGGATAGGACCCCCTAGTCTACGATAATTACATGGAAGACTGACGGGAGTATAGGACCCCTCGTCTATGATAATTACATGGAAGACTGATGGGAAGATAGGACCCCTCGTCTATGAATAAGTACCCAGGTAAGACTAATTAAGTGTGTTCATGTAGTATTTTCCATATTTACGTTAATAACGTACATATACACATGTCTTGCGTTCCAGTTGACGTATCTGCTGGACTTACTGGACAACTATCCTGCCTTTAGCATCGGTGGCTTTTACGTCTTGGCTGAGAGCAGACTAGTTGATGTAAATAAAACTTAATTGTTAATACATTACAGATATGAAAAACTAATAAAAATCACTTAAGAATCATTGCTTTTTAATATACTTAAATATTTATATTATATTTGGTATTGCAGGTTGCTAGTTTTGTCGCCACATACCTAGTGATTCTGCTACAGTTCCGAGCAGTTGAAGACCCGAGTTCTGAAACAGCATCTACCTAGAGAGGCAGCTGTTGTTTCCTGCAGATGATTACATCCTCCTTTCAATACAACTAACTTGTTTATTGTAGGTACTGTAGTTCCTGGTGAAGGAACGACAAAATAAGAAGCATCACAGCATCTTTTCTGAGAAAGTAACTACTCTGTCAGTAACAAACAGTGTTGCCGATGGTGATAATGGACAAAACAGATTAAAATGGAGACATCAATTGTTAAGAGAATGGATAAATCTTATTCAGATGGATATTTAATTGAAAACAACAAGAAAGGACCTTGTAGATTAAGACTGAGACGTCCTCTAGATTAAAGAGGATGAACCTAAATTAGCATTATGAATATGAACATTGTTCATAGCTTTATTACAAAATTAAAAAAATTAACATGCACCATGTATTTGTTAACTGCTTCATTACATGTGTTTTCTGTTACTGCAATATTTCTTTTTACTGGTACTTAAGAATCATTTGATAATTTGCAGTAAATCTTGAGTAACATGATCCCAGGTTCCAGTGTCTAAGGTAAACCATTCCATCATATTACTCAAAATTTACAACTAATTTTGCCAACTTTTAGAGAGTAGATTACTGTGATGACCATTAGTATTGTAGGAAATAAAGATGCTGGGTGCAGAGAATTTTTTAATACAACGTTTCGCCCAAGTCTGGTTTTTATCGAGTATACAAGAATATGTAAGTACTGTACGGCACCTTATAGGGCAAACAAGCAATAATAAGTCAAGCTTGATGAAAAACAGATAACATCTGTTGATATGAAATTGCGAGATTAAGTATAAGTGACATTGGTAATGTCAGGTAGACGTGAGAGTAAGAGGTGTGAGTACAGTGACAGATTTATTGATTATAATGTAAATCACGGTCAGTGGGTGCAATTAGTTTAGTCAACATGTATATTCCGCTGTTTTGCTCAGTGATATAGTGAGATGGATCACTGGTGCTTCCAAAAATCTGTCTAGCCCTGTCATCTTCCTGGTGTAACAGTTGTACTCTCGGTCAGTCCATGATGTGAGAATGACAGTAGTGATGGACAGCACATTGCTGGTTTATCCTTCCTGCTGGAATATTTTCCTGTTGGAGTGTCTGAGGGTCTCGTCACGGCCTCCTGAGAGACTATAGCATCCCACCATACGTTATACTGTATAATTCTGTTGTGTGTGTTTAAGACTTCTGAAGATCTCTTGCATAGTTTTGGTGGTACAGACTGCTACATAACTTTTTTTTTTATATTTTATTTAAAACATTATAAATTACAAGGTTGTATAAAATATTATATAAATTACAAGGTTGTATAAAATATTAAATAACACCACAATATAGTATCTGTACAAGATTACTTAGAATCATACCATATTTGCAGAAGAAAAATTTGAAACCTAATACAAAACAGAAATGTGTAACAAACACTCAAAAGACTTACATACAATGCTCTGACACACATTATATCAAATGATAAAATATCTGACACATACACACAAAACTGTTGGGGGGGGGAGCCCCCATTAAAATCCATCTATAAATACATCCCTGCAAAATCATCTATCACATCATAAAAATCAATGATTTTCCCTTTAAAGGCTTATTTTTACTTTAATATACATCAGGCTACATAGAAACGAAGGATTCTTCTCTTATGTTGGTGCAGCAGTGTTTTGGCCATTAGTGTCACCTTCTTTAGAAGCTCTATGGTGTCACCCTCTAAATGGTGTCACCCAGGGCGGCCCACCCCCCGCCCTCCCTTATGACACCACTGGAGTTGATGCTATAACTCGGTGGGATGATGAGCCTATGCCCCATTATAGTGATCTTCATAAATTTTATAATGCACCTTTCTTTATAGAAGTTGATATTGCTAAAACGTATCACCAAGTCATAATGGATCCCTCCTCTAACATATACACTGCTTTTCCTATGCATCAAGAAATGATGTAGTATAGAGCTGTATGTTCTTTTGTCTGGTGACAACCTATGCTACCTCATGAGACTGATGAGAAAGGTTTTGGGTAATTTGCCTAATGTTTCAGTTAATTCTGACAACTACATAATGACATCCACATGGGATAAGCATATCCAGACATTAACATTAGTCTAACTTAGGTAATACTCTCATGGCCTCACTGCCAGGCTGAAGACATGCCTCTTTTGGGTTTTTAAAAAATTTTTC